TTCTTGTAACACTCATCCAACAAAATCTCACGATTTTGGTTAAAGAATAAAAGGAATTCGTCCATTTCTTTCTCTCGGTTCTTTAGTTTTTCAACTTTTTCTTGTCGCTCTTTTCGTTTGCCATCGAATTCTTCCTTGTCTATTAGTTCTGCTTCTTTTTGGGTTATTTGAGATTTAATATAGATCGTTTCTTTTAGAATGCATTGTAGCAATTCACCAATTTCTTCCCTCATTTGGTTTAACTTTTGGAAATCCTTGTTATCAATGATGCATTCCTCAAGATTATTCCTTTTTGTCTCTCTTTCTTTCAATGCGTAACATAGTTGCTTGGCTTCGTTTCTGCCCGAAAAGTCGCACTCTTTTTCCAACTTTGCGCGTTCCAACGCCAACTGAATTAGTTCCGTATCAAAATTTCTTAAAGTTGACGCAAGCTTTTTGTCGAGTCGCAGAAGATATTCGTAGCGATTATGAGAATCACCAGATGCCATCAAAATTTCTGAAATATACTCGTCTTGATTTATTTCCTCCTCAAGTTTGGACACCATTTCTTCCTTTTCTTTCCGTTTCTCGAATAAAGTTTCAGCGTCTTGCAGTAGTTTTTCATTATCCATTTTCAGTTCTTGGCACTTTTCTTCAATTCTAGTCAGATTATAATCGGAATTAACCGTATCAATTACTAAATTATAGTCCGCCAATGCTGCTTGCAGACGTTGTAGTTCCAAAGCCTTGTTTTCGGCTGCTTTCTTGTACGAAAAGTAAGCAGACTGATCGCTTTTCATAAAGTTAATATCTTTTATAAGCCTTTTCGTTACGGAAGATATCTCAAATCCTTTTCTGTAAAGCAATCCTTTATAATATGATTTGTCACGAATCTGTCTTTTTTCGAAACTAGAATTCGGCCTTGATGTAACGAATCCTTGATTCGAAAGGATAATATTGGTGAGATTCGGACAGACGACGGAATCGGTACGCTTTGAGTCAAAGCTTGATTTTGAGTTACATCCGAATTCTAATGACAATTGCCTGCTGGACATTGATAATCTTGATGATGATGATGTCTTCGTAAGTCCAGCTTTTTCAGGATTTTTTCTGACTTTAGATGAAAATTCAGCCCCGTGTTCTTCACTCATGATTTCTAATTAGTTTTGCTGGATGGGCATGGAACAGCGAATGCTGTGCGTCCTATAAAACCTCAATCAAAATTAGAGCAGCGGTACTAAAGATGTAATTGCTATTTTTGGATCAGATTTTCCAGCTTTTTTGTTTTTACATTTGCACAACGATAAATATGCTTGAACTAAATCAAAAAATATTTGTGCTTCAAAATGATGGTAATAGTTTACAATCAAGGGTCCCTCTTGCGATATGAAAACAAACCTATATATATATGAAAGTACAACCAAAGAACTTATACAATCTTTGGTACAACCAAGAGCTAATAACATAACGATAAACAAAAATTGCGGTAACCCGAATGTGACGTCATTGAAAGCAAGACAGTAAAGAATATCATGGTAGCCAGAAACGGCGTTTCAGCAAAACTGATCGAAAATTATTGCAGCCAAACCAAGACGTCCCTGATTTTAAATCTTAACGTAACTTATTTCTGATTTTTTATAGTCAGTTCTACGAATTTGCCACGTGCATACGTGCAGTTTCGTCCAGTTGAGTACATCTGCTATCCCAGAAAGCATGTAACCTTACGGCAACGTCGTGTCGGAATTTTTTTTTTTTACCGTCACGAAAATGTTTGTACTAAAAACCTTTTTTCAATTAAGCAAAAGTATTGCAGTTTCAAACATTTCATTCTAAGAGGATTAAAAATTATTTTTTAAAGCTTTTTTAAAAAGTATTGTCCCTTTGAAAAAATGGTCACTTAGGTCCATCATGACATTTCAGCTCAGTCATAAGTAGTGCAGGGGTTTCTTTGTTATGAAGACCACGTCCAATGAAATCACTGATTCTTGTTGTCGTTGTTTCGAATGCCACTTGCAAAGATCAGGAAGCCTGCTTGGTGAAACCAGACGAATTTAAGTTAAAAGGCGCGCTTTCTGTTTTACAGCGGCTCCATCTATGACCAAGACTACGACTTTAGCCACACACGTCACAGCTCGGTTTAAAGGGCGGACCCATTCATTCATTCACTCACCGTTATTTTGGCTTGAACCAGAGAGCGATCAATCTCCGATTCAGTACCCCCAGAGATATCGATTTGTTATGGGAACTTGGTGGAGTAAGTGACTCGATAGATTCAACGTGCACCAGTTACCATTTACTACACGGGGGGTCTTCGGCCGATAGCAGTCGAACTCACGACGTCTTGGACATGGACCCAACGTCCTACCAACCGGGCTGTCCAGGTCTCATTGGTTCTTAAAAGTTGCTTAGTGGTACTTTTCCTAAATTAAGAATATGTTAAAAATTCTTGGAAGTTGTAGAAATTTTATTTTTGTTGAACGTAAGTTAAGTACGCAATAGTTTCAATGCCAGTTTTTTATCTTTTCGGGTTACAAACAGGTCTGCAGGTTTCCTCTTTGGTTAATAATAATGCTAATAATGGTTGTAAGTTAATTTAAATGCTCTTAGGAATTTATTTCTTTTAGCCATCGCTTTAATGTTTACCAGCCTGATGGGGTGAAATATTTATAATGATACATTATTTATTTATTTATTTTTAAACAACACATAATGGTGGCATCAAATAGTTAAAGTTCATTTCCTTTTAAATAACACTATTAGTCCTCCACGAAGGCAAATTTCTCCTGATATTTGATCTAGGAGTTCCCGTGTCTTCTGTATCGGGTTCAAAATTTCAAGGCTACGGAGTTGAAAATTGGTAGCCGTATACTCAATATTGGGTCATCTGTTCAAAGACGGTAATAAAATAAAATATTACTTTCACATTTTTCAACGCCAAATGGCAACCCTGCTGCAGAACGATTTCCCTTATAATAATCACCATTAACATGCTATTCATACATTTCTTTATTTGAAAATAAGATTAAAAATTTACAGTACTAAATCAGGCACATTGCGCAGGATGTCCATTGGCAGAAGTCTATCCAATGAAGTAAATATTCAACTGTCCATTAAGCAATGAACATTAGATCTCATGAGTTTCTCATTTACTTACTAGAGATACTTCTGTTAAGTATTACGGATCAAACTGCACTTATCTTGAACTAAAATGCACCAATTTAACTCATGATGCACACGTTGGAGGATTCATGTCTCCGAAAACGTTCAGTTCGCACATGCACGCAATGACCAAGAATGCGACGTAGAGGACAAGGCACATGAGGCCCACTTTCCTGTTGAGTTTCCACCCTGATAAACTGAAGGTGACAAAAAGTAGCACAACTGTTGAAAGCAGGGTCAGAGTTGTGTACGTCAGAGCAGAACTGTTAATGATGAGGCTGGAAGTTTTCGAAAAGAAGAAGGTTTTGATGAACCATGGCACTCCGAGGCAGAACAGGATGTCGAAGATGTTACTCCCGATTAGATTGCATATTGCCATGTTAGCTAAACCTGGAATAGGAATGATAATTTTACTGTCTTATAAAACAAAATCTATTAGTTTTCTATCATCATTATTTTTTTAAAAAAAGCCAACATAGCGATATTTGCACATTACCTTGTTGTCCAAAACCAGAGAGAAAGTGACAGTTTTCTTAAAACTGGAAAAACCTACGCACGGGGGCATGCGGGCTGATGCTTAACAGTGCGAAGTCTCTCTTTAAAAATTTTCCTCTTCTAGCAAAGTGTCACATGACAAGAATATTAGGTTTGTTATCGTTTTCTGTAATTTCCAGCATTAATGTGTTAATTAGAGTAATACTTTCAAAAATTGCATAAAAGCTCAATAAAAAGTCGCGGTGGCTCAGAGGATAAAGCATTTGCCTCCCAATGAGGCGACCCAGGTTCGAAACCATGCGGTGGCTGGTTGTTGCGAATTCTGCTCCCAGCTGGAACCGACCATAATACTAACAAGAAGTATCCTCAGTGGTAGACGGTTCATATATCAGAATGCATTTGCCATCAGGCTAACCGTGAGAGGTTCTCGTGGTTTCCATCTCCATGTAAAGCAAATGCGGGATATTCCACCAAAAAGGCCTCTGCGAAGGCACAATGTTTGATACAGGAGTCTCGTGGGTTGGGTTCAAAATTGCAGAACTACAGAATTGAAAATTGATAGTCTTTAACTCAGAATTGGGACAGCTGTTCAACGCCGGATATAAAATAAAATATAACTTCAAAAAAGTGTTAAATAAAATCATTAGTACAGACATGCATTGCAGCTGACGGGGAGCACGAGTTCAGGAAAAATGTATATCTAATTGAAGACTTTGAGGCTACAGATAGAAAACTCATATCTAATTTCTCTTTCAAAAAAGTTATATTTACACATGCGCACGGGCTTAGACAATTTATAAATTCTTACCGCTTTTGACAACAATCACACTGGCAATAATTTCAGGTACGCTGATTCCAGCCGCAAGAATTGTCAAACCGGCGACAGAATCGGGAAGTCCAAATGTATGACCTGAAATATAATTTTAAAAAATTGAATACTAATATAAAATGCTTCATGTTTTTTGCTCTTTCAAAACATTTTAAGCTAGAGCTTCGAGGAAATACATTTATACTTGTTTAATGCATTTTTTTACATTTCAGATGACGACATAATCTAAATCCTTATCTTATTAATGTGTTTGGAATTCACCTATTTTTTTTTCTAAATATAGTTCTCCAATAGGAAATAAGGCGGGAAATATGGAGATACAAAGAGAGATAGAAAGATATTAAAGAGACACAAAGAGAAATAAATGATCATAGAGTATATTTGAAGAGAGAAACTCTATAGAAATAGAAGATAGTAAAGAGCTTAAACCATGGGTAAAAAGCACAAATAAAGCCACAAAAACAGACAACCATCTAAGTAAAGCACAAATAAAGTCACAAAGATGGACAACTTGAATAAAGCACAAATAAAGCTATAAAAACGTACTGTTATTGTGGCCTTATTTGCATATTATTCCCGTTCACTTATTTTATTTTCATATAGCGGCTTAAGAAAATTTCTTAAGTCGAAATTAATTAAGAGGTGAACAAAAATAATGCTATATAATAAAATCATTAGACTTATCTTAACTTATGGATCCGAAACATGGTCCTTAACACGTTGAATGCCATGGGGGTCACCGGTGACCGGCGAAGCCATGATTATTAGAAACACATAATTCTAGTAAATTTTTAATGCTTTCAATTTTTTCACATTATTATCGTTACTAAAATGGCTTGAAGAAATTAATGGAATATAGAACACAAAAATTGTTTTATTTATATACATACATAACATGTAACCTTAACACGTTGAATGACAATGGGGTCACCGGTGACCTCAGTGAAATAAATGTGTCATGAATGATTATAATTATAATATTATAATTATAACCGTCCTTAAACAGCCGGCCCAATTTTATGGGTTTGCGACAACTAATGTTCAATTCCGTAGCCTTG